TTGTAAAATTACTCACTTATGGAGGAATGGTGCTAAGTAACATTCTTTCTCCCCCGTTATCTGTAAGAAGTCTTTAATTTTTTTTGCAGTATTACCTGTAAATTGTACTCTAACTAGATTCAACAATCCATAAGTATCTGATTTATTTAACTCCATACAAACACAATGAATGTACCTAAATGGTTAAAAAATTACAAAAAATACGTGAGGAATTACATCATTACAAAAAAGAAGGAATGTACCATAATGAGATATACTTCCATGCACCAAACTTGTATTACCCCTACGTCCAACCACTTTTGTCCAACAACCAAATCATTTATATCTTTCGCTTCAATTACGAATTCCACTAACCCTTCCATATCTGGATCATGTTCTAGATGAAGAGTAAAGAAGTTGTTTTCGTGGCACATAACGATACTTGACATTTTGGCATATGATCCTATAAAGGGAGTCAACAACTCGTTATCAATCTCGTGACCGGTGGGGGAGGCTGAACAATTCTCTTTTGTGCTTGCTCCATATACAACATTTCTAGCAAGAAATTGATCGTCCTCATCATCATCTTCATTCGTACACAGTTAGACGGTACCACTTATTCTCTATATTATAAAAAATATAGGAACATATAACAAAATTAACACAACATGCTCACATGCATAAAACAAAATTATCATAATATTCTCACGTACCGCATATATTTCTTTAATGTGTTTCATATCTCTCTTGCGAGTTTCTCGCTCCCCATCTAACTTCTATTGAAATTCTTTCTGTTGATTATCAAATGCACCATTTTTTTGGAATGGATTACAAAACTGGAAAAAATATTCTTCTACCTTGAACAAAACATTTTTTCAGCTTTTGAAATCCATCTCAAACAATGGTGTTGATTTTGTTATCGTTGTTGTTGAAGGTTTTGAACAACTATAATTTATTCCTAAAAGTCATTAGTGGTGGATTGCAAGTGCAGAAAAACAATTTTCAATTTTTGAAACAAATACCTTATTAGAAGTTGGAGGAATTCAAAGCTTACACATTGTATACGCTAGTGAAGACAATGATAATGATAACATCAACAATCAATCTTGAATGCAAATTTCTGACATTCAAGTATCAACACTTTTATGATGGATTGTAAGTGTAAAAAAACCATTGAAGAGATTTGTTGTAAACATTTTATTTTAGTATTATGTGTAGGCAATGTAATATTAAAAGAATTATAATAATAATTATCACCTCGGTTTTTAATCTTAACCATGTGATAGTTAAAAAAAGATAATAATAACATTACGTCGGTTTTATAAATAAATCGAATGGTATAATAGTCAAATTTTACTACAAAAGCAATTGTTAGATTTTACCGTAATTTGTGCTAATATGAAGTTGTCCGAAAGTTGTATCATTATTTAGGATAGATTGCAAGACATAAATAATATTCAATATTCTTCTATCTAGAACAAAATATTTTTTCTACCCTTGTAATTTATCTCACAAAATGGTGTTGTATATATATTTTTTTTTATGTGGAAAAATGTTGTTGTTGCATTTTTGCTCATTTGATAGATTGAAAGTGCGGAAAATCATTATTTCTTTAAGTTACACAAAGTACGGAGCTTAACCTTTGAAAGGTTAAATAAATATGGGATTTTAACTTTTCAGGAGATGGATATCAACAAAAAATAAAAATTCTTATGGGAAAACAGATCTCTAGCATCTTATATGAGACCTGGATGTGTTGTATTTTTAATATGTTGGATAAATAATCTTGATATTCTGTGAAGATTTGTTGCATATAATGTATTTTTAATATTTTTGGAAACAATGTAACCATTTATGTAAAAAAAATTAATCTAACCCCTTTGTTTTATTGCAAAACTGAGAGGATAGTTAAGTGTTATTTTTCACTATTTTCAACGGTCTTAAACAAATCATTGTCGTCTATTTAAAGGTTATCAACGCTCAAGAATCAGCCATTAGTGATCCATGTGAAACCTAAGGGACATCCATTATATAAGTTCTCTTACAATATTGGAAATATAACCTAAATAAAACATATGAAGCGCTTCAATATTAAGGACGCTTGGAAAAATTATCTACGATGGATTGCAATAGCAGAAAATCATCTCGATTCAAGGTTTATTTTATTAAATTTTTATTTGTATCATTTTTTTATTATTGATATTAATTATCTTACTCTTTTTTTCACCAGAAACAAATGCATGCAAGATTCGAAGAGAATATTCTTGCATCCAACATTTGATCTTCACCTAGGTTCAATAATTCAAAGATCTAAAATCTAAATCTTGAGGGAATATAATGTTTTATCTAGATTCCTAGGGAATTTTATTTTTATTTTTATTTTTATTTTTATTTTCTGGGTAAACAATGTAATATTCTGAGTAAACAATGTAATAATTTTTATAAAAAAAAATAATCATATCCCTCAGTTATTTTGATATACCGAGATAAAAGATATGCTAGTTTTAAAAATAATAAAATGTGTTATTGTTGAATGTAATGCACTTAATGTGCTCATTTGGTATTTTGATAATGTTGAATGTAATAAACTAAATGTGCTCATTTTGAACTAGTATATGTAATGCACAATTGATGCTAAATTATATGCAAACTCCATGTTTAAACAAATGTAAATTCTCTATTTGATTGTTGTATATCAAACTGCTACATTATTTGTTTATGTTTTTTTATCGGACTACATATATTGTGCTTATGTTTTTTTTATCAAACTGCACAACAGAAAATAACATACTACATAATCAAAAGGTTACAAGGATGAGCATATAAAACAGTTATTGCATATCAGATACAACATATATGTAGATGAAAATTTCGAGTTCATTTCATTCTTAATTAAAAGGTTACAAGGCTTTATTTTCATTCTACATATTACAATCTATTTCATTAATTACATTACATATACTTGTACATTACAACAAACAAAATCCAAGATGCAACAAGAAGGTAAGTGAGTGCATTAATTTTCTTCAGATCTTTTGAAGTCTTTGACTTGAGTTTCTCAATCTTCTTGTTATTAAATTGCCTTCCCAAACTCATGAACAAATTCTTTGCCAAACTCTACATCATATTTCTTCGTATCCACTTTCAGCTTTTCATATTGATAGCAACCTATATCAGACCTTAAATCCACTTGTTTTCCGTAACCCAATTCATCATCCCAGTGAAAGAAGTGACAATCATCATTGTTCTGGGATTTGCATTCAGATAGAAATACGAATTAGATAACAACTCATAGAAATACGAACAACAAAGAAATATGAACAAATGTGATGAAGAAATTTAACAAATCCTCCTGAATTTTTACTTCCAATATCTTCTTCTTGGATTTGCGCTTGATCTAGAAATGTGAATTTTCATTAGAATCTCGTATCCATAAAACTGAGTTTTTCTTCCACTGGAATTGACAACACCCGAAACAAAATTAAATGATTTCTTTTGGTTAAATAATTTCACTAATTTATTTATTTTAATGTTTTAATAATTAGGGAAAAACATTTAAATGATAAAATTAATACCAAATATCATATATATATATATATATATATATATATATATATATATATATATATATATATATATATATATATATATATATATATATATATATATATATATATATATATATATATATATATATATATATATATATATATATATATATATATATATATATATATATATATATATATATATATATATATATATGTGTGTGTGTGTGTGTGTGTGTGTGTTTTTTTTTTCTGGACTGGACCTGCGTTCAGGACAAGGCTCAATCCACTTCTGCTAGGAAGAAGGCTCAATACAACAACCCACACAATTATGACCGTTTGAGGACTCTTCCCCCGCGCCCTGTCAAGGACATCCTTCCCGACACATACACACGTCGAGTCCTTCCTGAGCGTACCTGTCGAGGACCTCCTCTCAACGTGCCCGATGGGAGTATCACGTCAACGTGCCCGACGAGGACGTTGTCTCCTCGTAGGATTCACCGTCAACGTCACTCTGAATGTCACCGAGTCCTCTTGCTCCCGAACAAACCGTTTCTTCCAAGTATTTCGGGATAATTCACCTAAAAAAGAGACCATATGTTGGTCTCCACTACACACATAGATCTTGGCAATCTCCATTGTGGATATGTCCAGTCGGTCCAACATGGGGACCTTGGCCCAGCGCTGAGGGCTATAAATACTCTCTTTCACTAGAGTGTCTAACAGATTTCTCCCCACTTCACTTTCGACTGCCGCTCAGTTTAAGCTTGTGAGCCATCGACGATCCCGAGAGAGAGAGAGAGAGAGAGAGAGAGAGAGAGAGAGAGAGAGAGAGAGAGAGAGAGAGAGAGAGAGAGAGAGAGAGAGAGAGAGAGAGAGAGAGAGAGAGAGAGAGAGAGAGAGAGAGAGATGCTCAATTTACTCCAAAAGTAAATGTTTTTAACTTACTCCAAGAGTAAATATTTTTAACTTACTCCATAATCTTAGAGAGAGTTTAAAAAAATCCAATTCATGAGACTGTTCAAAGAAGGTCTTCATTAATATTTTTCTGATCCTTTTTATAAGATACATTTCACCTTTTTAAATTCATTGAATAATTAATATATTTGAAAAAAATATTAATAAATAAATATTTATTACTTGTAAAAAAACAATTTAGCAGTAATGTAGAATCCAAACACGTACAAAATTCAGTTTTATTAAAAAAAGAAGTTAACGTTAAATAAGGTTTGACAAAAAAACAAAGATTCTGTTCTCTCTCTCATCACCCAAAATTAGACCGTTACAAAAATTAAACCTTTTTCACTTTATTAACTTCAACAATGATGAAAACTCAAAAAATCCCAAAAACAACTTATTAACAAAAGCACTTATTCAATCAATCACAGTGATAACAAACACTTAAACACATCCCCAACAACCTCAAATTTCAATTTCAACATTTCATCGTCAGATTCAAAACCAATTACTATCATGTCAAATAGAGACACCATTCTGGAACCTCTTCTTCATGTCCTTGATCCCATTTCATTGATCCTTAATCATAATTCAAATTCCGACCAACCCTGTCCTCTTAGGTTCACCTCTATAGAAGATAGCTTCATTATGGAGAGAGGACCCAATTATAATGCCTATGCTGAATTTAGGGAAAAGAGGTTGCGTTTAAGGTGTTTGATGGAAGTTCAAGAAGAGAATTTGGAGATTGAAGTTGAACCAGCAAAAGTTGCTACTACAATAACGAAACAGGTTAGGTTTCAAGAAGAAAATTTTGAGATTGAATCACAAAAACTTGTAGCCCCAACAAGGAAAAATGTTAAGTTTCACAGTGGATTAGCTTATGGGAGAAGAGGGTCTCTTGAAAAAGAAGTAAAATTTGAGATTGAACAACCGAAACTTGTAGCCCCAACAAGGAAAGAGGTTAAGTTTCAAGGTGGAGTAGCTAGTGAGGGGAGAAAAGGGTCTTATGCTGTTGCTCAATCTGTGCCTGATTTCTCTGCAGTATTGAGGAAAGAAAATAGGAAACCGTCGAATTTTCTGCCGTCAGTGATGGAGACGAAGACACCGCCTTCTTCCAAGAGTAGTTTCTATAAGGATAATAACATGGCGGGATCAAGTTCAAGAGGAAGTAAGACAGAGAGTGCAAAGGAGAAGAAGAAAACGATTGGCGGTGGCGGCGGTGTTTTGATGGCAAGGAAGAGTTATGCTAGCTTGGATGAGCTTAAGAGTTTGTCTTCTGCTACTGCCATTGCCATCAATGGTGAAGGTAGAGGAGGAAGGAATGGTAGAGTTTCGAGGAAGACAGTTTCTTCGTTTCACAAACAGTTTTGAATGCGAGGTCCTTAAAGTTTGGATTTTTTAAAGTTGTTTGTTGAATAAGAGATGTTGGGGTGATTGTTCTTCTGTTTCTCTTTTGTTTTTCAATATTCATTCTATTTGATTTTTTGAATTGCTTTCGAGTGTTTTACTACTATACTATGTAAAGCTTTGATGTAAGTAACAAGAGTGTTGATTGTTATAACACAAATATTATACAAAAAAAAATACATAGTTTTATCATTCTTCTTAAGTAGGGATGAATTTGTTAATTCTGTTCTGATACGAAGTATCCGTCTACTACAATGAAGCATGGATACGCCAAAATCTCTGCCGAATCATGTCTGATATGACCATACGTATCGTATCCTATATTATTCAATTAGCGACGCATCACCGTGTCAGAAACATATCGTGTCTGATATTTGTATCGTGCTCGTGCATCACTGGTCATATAAAAAAGTTAGAATTCTAATATTGGTTGGAATTTCGGGCAAAGTACACAAACAAAAACAAAATTAAGGATCATTATCTAAAAGATCATAAGAGACCTCTATTAGAAACACCATTATCAATCTATTTGTACAAACAATGTATACCATGATTCTTGCATCAGAACAAAAAAATATCACACAAAATAGTGGTGAAATATTCCAATGAACATCTTAAGAGGGGACTTATAACAACATGATCTTGGTAAGTTCAAAAAGTGTACAGCCTAAAACCTACAAAGTCTTCAACAATTTCATCAACCAAAATTTGAAGCACATAATCCTCAATATCAACACCAAACTCAAAAGCTTCAAGATTGAAATCAGTCCATTTTCCCAATGAGTGACTCATCTCCCAATCAATTATTTCTTCTGGTTCCTTTCCAGCTATAAATTCCCACTTCTTAATCTCACTCTTAACCTCTTCAACCAAAATCTCACCTTTCATGCATAAAGGAACCTTTGTCCATGCACACCTTAAACTAAATACATTGTAATAATTATGGCAGCAATTTGATTCTAGATATTCAATTACACAATCAAATAGAAATCCCTTAACTTGGCTTTGATTGAAATTTCTCCACATATCATCGGTTGCCATGTTGTCAAGTTCATCGACAAGAATACAAGAAATGAGAAGCTGTGGCAGATCCTCACATTGCCTAGTGACATTTCCAAGAACCAATTCAGCAATGAAGATGACATCTTTCATATGATCGAGCTTGTTTTTTGTAAATCTTGGCCAAAATGAATTTAAACTTTGCAATGTTGTATGAATTCGGTTAACAAGTTCTGTCAATATCTTACAACCTATCTTCCCTGTGTTAAATAATGTTGCGGAATCTAAAAGTTTGATGTCAGGTTCAAACCGTTTTGGTTGATCGTATGAACAATTTATAGAGCCGGTGTGAAAACCATACCCTGGAGTAAAGTCAAAAATTCGAAGGCATTAACAATAGGATTAAACAAATCAAAATTAGAAATCATGTTTTCTTAATTGCATTTACCTGTGCCTGCATTCAGAACAGATATCAATTCTTGAAGAATCAACACAGTTGATCTTCTAGGTTGATCGCCATTAGCCAGCTCGTTTTCCCTAGATTTCAATTCTTTCAACTTCTGTTCTAGAAAAGCGCCTAAAACATCCTCTCTCAAGGGTGAATGATGTCTTTGGAAACAAGTCTTAACCTTACTAGCACTTCTTGTCTCGACCTTATCGATCTTATTATCGTTAATCTTATCGGTTTTTTGATAACCACTTTTTCTACATTTGACATTAGAATTTTTTGGAGAGAAAGCATCGAAGTTTCTCCTTTTTCCTCCTTGTGCATTTGAACCAACATTTCTATGTCTCGATGCAACCAAATTGACAGAAGCTATACGTTCAACTTGTGAGACATTTAAGGCCCTTTTTTTCCTCTCGAGATCAAATTTGCAACTATCCAACTTGGTAGGAGACCTCATACGAGTTCGACCACTCAGGCTTCGATTCAAACCATCAAAGTCTTTATTTCTACTCACAGTGCTTGCAGTTGCAGCTGATGAAGCTCTCTTCACTTGCATATTACTATTTCTAGCTTCAAATCTAAAAGCCATTCTTTCACCGTTTAGCATACGTTCTCGTGTTTGAGTTTTGCTTCCGAAGTTAAAAGAAGATGTGTAGTCGTCACCCTCTAAGCCTCCACGCGGTTGACGTGATGAATCACATTTAGCATGAACGTGGATTCTTCTCGAAGTAGATTCATTACAAGAATAAGCATTCTTTTTAACATCTTCATTACAAGAATAAGCATTCTTTTTAACATCTTCATCAACAAGAGTTATGATCTTCTCTTGACTTCTGAGAAGTACTACGTCGTTTTCGTGAGAAGGATTGAATGATCTTCCTTTTTGCGCCGATTCAGAAGAGAAGCCGGTGAAAACATCTGAAACAATAGGTTTGCTGATCTCAACGTCAAGCAAATTACCACAATTTTCACAAGTATGCTCCACCAACAACTTGTCTATGCCGGCATTATAACACGATCGGTTGTTTATAGCTTCCGTCCGAGTTCCAACCATATCGGTGACAACGCCGTTCTTACGAGAACACTTAGAAATAGAAGATGCAAGAGAATATTTGGATCTGCTTGTAGCCTGCAAGCCAGGTTCCAAGATCTTAGTAGCTGCTTCTATCAACCTTGAGCTTCGAGATGCACTCTTTCCCGAAGAAACTCTCGGACTCTTCAAAGGGGAAACAAATTTAGCGCCATGGTGATTGTGATGATGACTAGACTTTCTCACTTGTGACAAAACACTCTTGATTTGCAATGCCTCGGCACCAAACCTAGTCATTGCTCTTCTTTCATTTCCTTCCGTTTTCCTTACCTTCTGAGGCCTTGAATCATGACTTGCATTCGCAACTCCGATTTCCAAAGACTCCTCACCAACATCACTATCAAAAAATGAAGATTTCTTGGACTTATGATCTCTCTTTGAAGCTGGAATTGATTCTAGACCCATCAACCTAGCTACAATACTCGGAGCTTTCATTTCATGCTTTCGTTCTACCTCGATAACACAATTTCCTCCTTCCATGGTATTCGAGAAACCTCCGTTGTTCCCATTAGCAATCTACAATTAAAACAAATATAACAATCACAAACTCACAATAACCAACCACCTAAACAAGGATTTGGATTCGCTGCAATCAGTTGACATTCGATCAAGACCAAACTGAATTAACTTTCTTTTTGAACTGTCTGATCTTGATTGAACATGTAATTCATGATTACAACAATTCCAAATCCAAAGCTTTTCAAGTTCAACACATAGAAAACTATATTTAAACCAACACAACTATCATCATATTCTTACAAAATGAAGCTTTGAATTCGGCATTTTCTCATCTCCTTTAAACTTGTTCATAGAATCTTGTTTTGCACTAGCTGTCACATTTTACAACAAAAACCAAACACACTCATTAGTTTCCACAAACCACAACAAGAATCTTAACAAAACTTCACATAAAAAAAAACTTTTATTTGACAATGTCACCTCAAAATGCATGTGTATAGAAATAGACACATACAAATAAATAAAATGAAGTAAAAAGTAAAAAGCGAAAAACTTGTTAGATGAAACTAACCAGGAGGAAGAAGTTTCTTGGAGAAAAATCTCTTTTTGGCGAATCTTCTATTCCAATCAAATAGTTGAAAGAAAATACCAACACAACCACCATTTTGTTTTTCATTGTTCTTCTTTTTATCTGTTATTGCTAAACATGAAGAACCATTCACACTAACATCATCACTCATTTCTACAAGACTAACACAAAACACACAAAAAAGCAACAAAATCAACTTCACAGTTTCACTATAAACAAAAACATAAAAAACTCTTTTTTTTTTCCCTCAAAACTTGTCTTCCAAACATGTTCTAACTCAAAATCCAAAACCCATGATTGTTTTTTTGAGTTATCTTCTTCACTAACAAAAGGAACACATATTTTTCATATTTTTTAGTTAGAATCCAAAAGATATGATTGTTTTCCCTCCAAAGTGAAGCAACCAAGAAGAAAGAACTTTCTACATGGAATAAGGCCAATCATAAAACGACACATTGAATGGAGAGTCCTGCAAAAACACCTTGATGGACCAAAGAAGAAAAGGACGCTTGAGGAGAAAAACGACAGAAAATAGGAGAGGAGCAGTAGAAGAGCAGAAGAACTGAAAAAGATGATAAAGCAAATTTGAATATAGTATGCTTATTTTTATAATTATTTTTTAAGTTATATAACTTAATTAACTAATTTACATTATTCTCAAGTTATTATATTTATTTTTTATTTTTTATTCATTATGATTTTTTTGTGTAAAAAATTAAATACAAAGATTATTATAGGAGGAAGGGGGTAGTTTAATTATTTTAATATAAAATATTCACCTATTACTTTTCTTTTAGGATAAAAGACATTTTTTGTTTATTTTATTGTTTTAAAGTTAAATGTGATATGTTTGTCCGATTTTGGAGGCTAGTAGGAGCAATTTGAAGTTCGGAAGAATCAAAGTTTTTGGGTATACAAGTTTAATTAACAAACTTCCATCTAAGGATTTGTTATACGGTAGATAATCATCTCTTTTATCTAATTAACTTAATTGTGTATTGCGTAAGAAACAAGATGAATAGTTGTTTCACTTATTTATGAAATGTTTTTTTTTCCAAAATGATATCGTATGGAGAGAAATTTTCGTATGGTTGAGATTTTGGGTGAATTTTGGTGGAAGTGTGTCAGATAAGTTAAGTATTTAGATAATAGAACGTCGTAAGAATGGAGTGAAGGCAACAAAAATGAGTGTTATATAGTTGACGGTTTTGTGGAGTCTTTGGTATTATCGGAATGAAATTCTCTTTAATAGAGTCATCCCTTGCGTCTCCGATTTGGGTTGGGAGATTAAATTGAAGATTTGGGTTGGGAGATTAAATTGAAGATTTAAAAGGAGAGAGTATAATTTTTGAATGAATGGTTAGTTTTATGACTTTAGA